AACATAAGAACAACATTTACAAATGAGTCGAGGCCAATCAGCCCAGCTGGCTCATTTGTTTTCAGCAGCTCGTTTATCCGACAATGTTATCCAGCCATTCCTTAAAAGAAGTCAGGGAACAGACTTCAACAGCATGACTGGGCTGCTTGTTCCAGACTCCCACAACTCTTTGTGTGAAGAAAAGTGTAAAGAGGTGAAGGCTGTTTGAGTTTCAGGATCTCCTGAAGAAATCCAAACTTTTTTTGGAGTGCTCTCTCACCCAGAAAGGTTCAAAATACCTCAACCTCCAACTATTGTTTTATATAATGACTATTTTATACGGTTAGAAACACTGCGCCACGCTTTACAACAGAAGAAATATATAATAAACACAAGACAAAAACAACACAATAAAACGGCTCCGCTTCCCAGAGTAAAATATAACACTGAAACACATGGGCTTGGGCAAAGGGTCTTTTCTACCCACAGGTGCGTCAGAGTGAAGGAGGCAGGACAACCTCAGCCAGCAACCCTGGAACCCTGGTCTTCCCAGGACACCCCGAAACAGGCAATCAGGTAGTTTCTCCAGCAAGTAAGAGGTACAGCAGCCCTGATCTCTCTCCGCAGTCCCAGAGTGGGAAGTATCATTGAAACGTATAACGGGAAGAACATACATACACACGGTGATTTCGTTCAAATTAACTAACCAGTTGCATTTACTGTATATAGAACTTCCCTTCTCTAAGGATGCCAAGGTGCTTCACGTATAAGACAGGACCCACTTCATCCCCCACTCCAGAGCAGCCCCACTGCACAGCAGATCAGGGGGAGGAGTGAGAAATTCCTGCACTATCTGAATTAAGGGAGAACTTGAAGGAGGTCAGATTGTACAAGTCCGGAGTGGAATTCTCAGCTCTACTCTCACGAGCAGTGTCATTTACCAATCTGTTACACAAAGGGGATTTCATTAGGTAACGCAGAAAAGGTTGCCTACATGGCATTTTTTGTTTGTTTTGGTTACATTCAACACATTTTAGGATTGAGATTTTTGCTGTCGGTACACTACGACAACAACATGCACCGCTTTCAGTGTTCAGGAAGCCGTGACAGGAACATGGGTACAAGAGCAGGCCGCGGACGGGGAGCGTCGCCGCACTGACGGCTGCTTCCTCCGAGGCCAGTGCGGTTTCGTTTGCAACGCAGACGTGCCTCAGCAGCGCACTGAGGCTCGGCCCCACCTGAGGGCCAGCGCTGCGCCCGTGGTTCTCACTTCCCCATTCAAGGCAGCAGACCCTGGTCTATAAATTAAGAGGCTGTCGCAGTTATTTCCCCCAGCATTGTCCTGAAAACTGTTATTTTGCTCACTTGCAAGAACAGTTTTTCCTCACAATAGAAACTGCATAAAATTCAGGAGGAAATCTCTTGGTTTTGATCTTCAGAAGAAAAAAAACAATAGTGACTGCTTTTGACATTTTGAGATGTGTGGAGTAGTTGCCTTGCACTCTAACTGGGGAGCAAAATGCAAAAAAACATATTTTCAGCCACAAAAGCAAAATGCAAAAAAACATCTTTTCAGCCACAAAATTAAAACAGTGTTCTTTTCCTTAATGGTAGCAGAATTGCCATCTTGTAGCCTGATCTCATCAGACTTCTGATGCTAAGCAAGGCTGGGCCTGGTCAGCACTGGCATGGGAAAACTCCAAGGAACTATAGGCTGCTGCTGAAGTGGCGCTGGTGGACCAGTAGGTGGCTCTCTACCCTCCGGATCACAATTTCCAAACCAATGTCCCACTATGGAAACCAGGGACACAGTACCGCAGGAGCTGCCATCCTTCAGATTAGACCTTAAAAGGAAGTCGTGGCCACTTGGTCAGTGAAGCATGGGTCAGAGCCATGCTCTCTCAGTGTCCTCTTCAACCTTACGGCTGGGGAAGCCCTCAATAAGCAACTGATAGTTTGCCAGTTCGAGTCCCTGCTGTGGAACGTCCCTCGAGGGAACAGCAGCCGTCACACCAGTCCAGGCCCAGCCAGATCGCTACATGCTCCCTCGGTCGCTTACTGCTACAGAACCAGGAGGAGCTGCTCTGGGGAGGAGCTACTCGAAGCAGACTTTACCGATACCCGCCACCTGATGGCACTGCTGGGGGCTGCACTTCAGTGGTGAGGAACGCAGGTGTCCTCCTATACGTGAAGTGTTTCCGTTACAAAAGGTCCTACAGATATGCAGGGAATGATTATAAAAGTGCAACAGCTGGAAGGGAATAGGGAGGCACAATCTTCCGACTCATTACCTCAGCAAAAAAACGACAGGATCAGTGGGCTTGTTTTAAGGACTCAGTAGAATAAACTGGGGGAAAAAAAAACATAACTAAAATCTCTATTTCAAGTGATAAGTGATAAATTGCATCTCAACAGCGAGCGATTATGATAATTCAGTCTAAAGAGACTGCATGTCGTGAGCGATGTGAACTCCAGAATGAATGCCTCTACTAGAATAAACTAAACGCCAAATTAAATCCATCCACGTTCCAAATCCATTTGCAAAAACTCGTCTGACAGGCAGGAAGGTTTTAGAACCCGCTGGAGAAATCCGGGTTTTCTCGAACCGCTCCTCAGCGGATCTACACCGGCCTGCGGGAGGAATCCCTACAGCAGCCGGCCCGTATTCCAGAAGCAGCTCGGGAGCTGGATCGGATGGCCAGCCCCGAGGGGCACTGCGGGCCCGAGGTCTGCCTTTCACGGTCTCGCTGTGGCTCCCTCGGCGGCAGGCGAGGAGCAGAAGGCAGGCCTGGCCCCCCAGCGGAGGCAGCACTGCAGCCACACGGCCTCCGACGCTCTGCGTTGTGTATCACGCCCATTTATCCATCAGGCAGAACAGTGGCAACACTGTGGCGATTCTGGACCAGCAGGGAACACGGAAGATTCCCAGGAATCTCCCTTACTGATTCCAAACTCTTCTTCCCCTCCCTCTCCCCTGAGGACGGCTGACTTTCCGGGTGATGTACACCATCCCTCCCAAAGGAACCCACAAGTGATGCAAGAACAGGGAAAACACAAATAAAGATCATAAAATAAAATAATATATAGAAATATTATTCATAAAACACAAGTAGAACCTATATGAACATGTACTTAAGCCTGAGAACAGGGGGCACTACTTTACCCAAAGGGTTGTGGGGGTATGCAACAAGCTACCCAGCCATATTCTTGAAGCTGATACTTTGCTGTCATTCAAGAACCATCTGGAAGAGACTCTGGGATCAGTAACCTACTTACTATGAAACACCTAGATGGGCTGAATGGCCTCTCGTTTGTAACTGTTCCTATGATATTAACTACCAGCTCAGGGCTGCGAATTTAGGTGTGGACTAAATTAATGTACAGTAAGTACTACCACGTGCTAATTATTTTCAGAAAATAATAAACAAATCCTTATTGGGTACATTATTTATTCTTGATGAAAGTACCTGTTAAATACCAACGCGTCAATGTGGATAACATCTTCAAGTGGCCTAAGAATTGTACACAAACCACAAGTCCCTCATCTAAAAATCAGCATCTTTTCAGGCCAAAACCTCCACAACACCTCCAGGACAACAGCAGCACGAGTCATTGTTACAGAGCCATTATTTCTTACCTTCTTATTAAATGATGCAGAACTGTAGGGCTCTTCGTGTGAATTCAAGCTCCAGATTTTCGTCTGCAAGGCACTTCTAACTCTGAATTTTAAAGCCTAGCACTCAAAGTATATATATATATCATAGTGACAGAAGAACAGGATTTATGCCTTGCCTAGTTTGAAATAAAATGAATGCAAAAATCAGAATGCTGAGAAGCATTTCATGTTAGAAGAACTATTCTTCATTCCTAGAAAAAAAGCACATCAAGGCTACGGATTGATTTTTTAAAACCTCTCATGAGCTGTGAAAAATCGGCCTTCTAATTTTACAACCCTTTTGCTTATTCTGCACAGCATCCAAACATTCTCTGCTGTGCTTTATTGGAAACAGAAATGCTCTAAACTAGCCCTGCACTAGTGCAACCTTTCAACACAGAACAAGGTACTCACTCACTGAACACCTGTGTGAAATTTTATTACTCCTGGCACTCTAACAATCAGCTGCAGTATGAAATGCAAATACATTAAATAAAAACTCCCCGCACCCCCAATATCAGCATACACAAGCATATCACTTTGACACCCAGGGAAGAGGACTTGTTGACAGCAGAAATGTTCTTTTACAACACAGATAGCGAAGAACAAATTAAAAAAAATATACATGGAAGCCAGACATCACTTTCCAATAAACTCCAATAAAAAAATAAAGTTTGCTCCTGAGGAATTTGTACATCAGCTACTCTTTCAAAGTTGCAGAAACTCTCCAGTAAATCGGGGATCATGTTAACATCCTCTAGGGAAAATAAGTGACTTATATTCACAGTCATGGCATTTGAAAGGAGCCGATTCCTGTCCTGCATTTCGCTGAAGCGATACAATATTTAACCTTGTGTATGAGAGGGTGTTGGGTGCCAAGTGCAATGTCATTCATTTCAGCATAAGTAGTCCAGGACAGAAGGACATGTGTCAGTGTTCCACACTCTAGATACCTATTCAGTAAGGTCTTAAATAATTCAGCAAGGTCAAGAAACAACAAGTGGACCATCATCACTGGCTGAACAGTAATGTAACATTTTTCATCTTTCCTTGTTTTATTTCCATACCTCATTACATTACATGCTTTCATTACAAATGGGACATGAAATTTCCCATAAAGCAAACGCGCACAAGTGCATGTGCCAACCAGAATCCAGCTCGCTTGTGGACCACTTGAATAGAAGCCCTAGTGGAACAGAAAACCAGGCCTCCTTTCATCCTAGCAGAAACTAGAATTATTTTCAAAGATACTGCGACAGGTCTTCCTTGCTATGTTATTCAGTCAGACTTTCAGTCAAACGTTGTGATGTTATTTTTCCCAAACAGCCTCACATGGAAAGGAGAGAAAACAAGGAATACCACTCACCCAGAAATTGTTTCTAAAGATCGACATCTTTGTTTCCTTGGATCTTACAGGACCCTGAAAGAGGAGAGGACACAGCAGTCAGTGGCCAGCCAGTGCAAAGGCAAACATTAATCCTTATTCCTATAAGATTTCCTTGTGTAAATAACTGGAAACATGAAGTTGCTATCTATGTGAAAGGGAGAGAAATTTTCATAATTTTGCTAATAAGCATGAAGACAATAGCTAGGCCAGAGACCGGCTGAAAGCAGGTGAGAGGTAACTTACTGCTCAGTAACGTTACTTTGCTGCTGTGTTGAGGCCAGTTCACACCATAGGCATTGCAGCTGTGTAATGTGATAGAAAGCAAGTGTCTGAGTTACTACATTTCCATAATCCTCACAGAGCCCGGCTGAATATCTGTGGATCTGTCAGTGAAAGAAGATCCACGTACACTGAGGGCTTAAAGCCACTGGAGAAGCCTATATGGCATACAGCCAGGCCTGTGTATAGTGTGTGTTCTCTTGAAAACCTGTTTACATAGAACATATGGGCAGACAACCATGCTGGTGACAAAAGGCCTATCTAGACCTGGCCCTCACAAATAACACAGTACAGATGGCAAAGAGCTACTCCAGTCACCTCGAAGCGGGAGTTTCTGGGCGTCGGTCAGGGGCCCGTGAGGGGAACAGTGGAGCGAGGGGGGCGCAGAGAGAGGATGAGCAGGCTCCGGAAGGGGCCTAGGAGACGAGCCGCTGGGACAGGCCACGGTCCTGCACTCGCCGGGGAGAGGTCACAAGGGAGAAGGCTTCCAGGAGGCGCAGGCCGGAGCTCGGAGGATCATCCCTGATTGTGCTGGACATGGAACAAGAACGGGATGCGTGCCCGTGATGCCCACGACTCCCAGCAGGATATCCACGACAGCGTGGGAGCCCCTTTTACTGGAACCACCCCAGCCAGTTGGAAGCATTCCTTAGGGCACAGATTCCCAGACTGGGATCTTGCGGTACCTCATGGGATTCCAGGAGGCCCACGGACAACTTGCTAATCAAGGGGTCTCTTAGCACACATCAACGAGGGGTCAGACTCTTGCTTTCAAATGGCATCTGCCATGAAATACACCTCGTGTGTAATGTATATGGAATGCAAATAATCATAATAACTGATTTCTTGAGCCTTTCCAAACCCAAGGATGCTGAAAGGACATGATGGGGAAGATAGAACTGCGTGGGTCCTAGGATCAATTCTGGTCTGGAGTGCCTTCTGTGTGGAGTTTGCATGTTCTCCCTGTGGCTATCTGGTGGTGCACCAGGCACGACAGTTTTCTCCCACCTTCCACAAACACGCTGACTAGATTTAAGGGCAGCTCTGAAGTGCCTCTGCGTGAGTGTGTGCGTGTGAGACCCCGTGATGGATGGAGACGTCCCATACAGGGTGGAGACAGGCTCCAGGCTGGGAATGAGTGGCTCTCTGATAAGGAGAAGGTGGATGATGCCAGCTACTGGTAAGAGCAGCTCTACGTTTCCTCAATCGAGAGACAACCAAAACAGCAGGAAAAATGAATAGGTGGACATGGTATTGCATTATCCACAATTACCAACAGATGGTTTTATCTGTGACAGATTGTTATTGATATTTGTATAGCGCTTTGGATGAACATTCTTTGCCTTTGTACAGTCTTTTATTAACAGCCCAGATGCTTTTACTGAAAGCCGGAGTCAGAGCCAGCAAAAAGACCGGCTTCCCCATTCCCCCTGAGGGAATGGTTTAGGGGATGACCAGTCATGGAATTTACAGAAGGCATAACAGAGCTGACAAAGCCCTAAATGACAGCGCAGGCTAACCTGGAAGGCAAACACGCAGTTCTAATGGCTGTCGGACTCAAACGATGCAACAGGTTTTGTACAACATCTGCTCAGCAGCTCTCCTGACTCAGGTTTGCCGCGTCGGACGATTCTGGTCAGGAGGCACTCACCGTGTTGTTCCCCGTCGGGTCATGGCGAACTGGCCGAACACCTGAAGAAGAAGAAGAAGGGAGCAAAAATGAGTGACACGAGGGCAGGGACAGGGATGTTGCAGCTCCTGCTGAAGAGCAGGGCTGTGCTGTAATATTCCTCCCCTCGCAGCAGAGAATCTCCCTGTGCACGCAAAACAGCACACGACTTCAGCACTGCGAAACACGGGGGCCTCGCCCACACAAGGACCCCGAAACACAGGAAAAGCTTCAATGAATAAGAGGTGGGGGAGCCACTCTACCCCTCTGGATCTTTTGGTCGCTAGCCGCTAATTGAGCAGGAGGATGTCATCCAGCTGTTTCACGACAGATCTAAGGGAATCAGAGGATGTGATCTTGAATTCCTCACCCCCGAGATACAGAGAACGACACGCGCGTCCGGAGAGACATCAGTGCCCTGTAACCAACACACTGACACAGCACAACCCATGCACTGCGACTGGTGCCCGGTCAGGTACGCACCTCGGTCACAAGCCATGCAGAAACAGCAGACTGCAAAAACTCACATCCACCTCACCCGAGCAAATTAATAAATGGTGGGGGGGGGGGGTCTAGAACCCGTGTCTGAACACGCGACGCGCGAGGATCGTCGGTTTCTCACGGTGTCCAAACCTCGGGGGATTACAGAGCGACCCTGATCTGACCCCTCTTCCCGCGGGGCTGCCAGACAGTCATGCCTCTCTGCGGCCCGCGGCTGCGTTTCGCTGACGGCAGAGGTTTCATTCTCTGACAGGCCTGGCCGGACAACCGGCAGCAGATACCAGCCCGTGTCCTGGACCCGATCTAAAGAGGAAATCGAGGGCTCCTTCTCTCTTCTCTGCTAGCGGTGCTCACATCCTTTCCCCCCTCAGCGGGGATAACCGACCGGTTGGGCCACTGTCTGTTGCTGAGCAGTTCTCCACAGTGGCATAAAAGGTTGTTAATAGGAGATGCTGATCTTACTGTGCTGCAGCGTGTGAGGTAATTACAGGTGATGAGAGAACAAAGGAGAACAAAGAATGACTGTTCATACCCATCTGCTCCAAAGGTTTCATTTCCCTCAGCACCCTGTTCCACGAACAACACTGTGACCTAAAAGCCCATTATCTCTGCTTGCATCCCTCTACCACTGGGACCTACATGTATTTTTATATTGCAAACCCTTCTGGATATCACACCATTTACTTTTACTTCTTATAAATCTATACCTTAAATGTATGGATTTAACATTGGACAGCATGGAGGAGCAGTGGCTAGCATTGCTGTCTTGCATGCAGGGGCCCTGGGTTCAATTCTGGACCTGGGGGGCTGTCTGTGTGGAGTTTGTAGCTTCTCCCCTGTGCACATGGCTTTCCTCCAGGTGCTCTGGTTTCCTCCCACAGTCCAAGGACATGCTGGCAGATTAATTGGCTTCTTGGAAAATTGGCCCTGGTGTGAGTGTGTGCATGTCTTGACACACAAATGCTGTTTTAGTGCCTGTGTCTTGTTTTGGCCAAATAGTATATATAGTACTGCCAAATCATCCATCCATTACCCAATTCAGGGTCGCAGGGGAGCTGGAATCTATCCCGGCAAAGCAAAGGGCACAAGGTAGGATACACCCTGGATGGGATGCCAGTCCATCGCAGGGCACACACAGACACAACCACACACACTCACACCAGGGTTAAACATCCCAGACGTTAATTAACCTACAATGTAATACAAATGCTTTCCCCCCCCCATAATTAGTACATCAAAGTTCTTTTGAACTTTGCTACCTTTGCAAATCCACTGATTACACCATCATTAAAGTCCTTGCGTTTCCAGTTTTATCACACTCCATTTGAAAATGTTACCATCCAAAAGTTCACTGCTGAACTGAACTTCAACTTCACTGAACTTCAAATTGCTTTTTCTAAAGCAGCCTGATGCTGACAGAACCAATGCACAGACCATCTGGCTCGCGGTGTGTCAGAGGAAAAACCCACAGAGCTGAAATCCCCCAAAAAGATCAGCTCAATTTAAAAATACGGAGATTTTAAAAAACACCAGTGACAAGGGAAAGACTACATAAATCACAGACAGGAGCAATTGCTTGTTTAAGTTCCTAAATACACAAAACAGTTCAGGGATAAGCTCCTTAACCAACATCTTAAAAAATTCTTCAACATCATTAAGACATCATTTATTTTGTGGGGAAAAATATATTTCCAAAATAATGACAATTAACATCCTGTGTATATCTGATTATTTAATCTATTATTTTCAAAGGTGAATTACTGAAGGTTTTATCAATGCATCGATAAACAAAGCTGTTCTCCCAGGGTAGCCACACTGATACAAAATTAAAGGGCTTTTAGCGTAATTATAGTTTTTAATTGCTTGGGCTTATTTCTAGAACGGGATTTGGGTTTTAAAAGCTAAATCAAAAAAACAATTAAGGGGAATCAAGATGTCAGTAGTTTTTTTTTATAATCTTGTTACAGTAAAAATAAAAAGGGGCTTCACTCGTTCGGACGCAGAGAGCCGGCTGTCCAACAGCTGCCAGATGCCAGGAGCCCAGGGGCAGGAGTGAGCCCCCTAGTCTCACCCTAACGGGGTCAGTGATCTTAAAACGGTCTGAACTGATCGCAGATCCATCCGATCCCATGTCTGCCTTTCATTCCAGGAATTTTTAAACAGGTCTCATTTACAACAATGGGAAGAATCTATAAATTTTGAATGGGCCTTTATTTAATTCTGTATAACGTTACAGATTGACAAAAAGGAGACAAAAAAAATGTCAGCAATCAGTAGACTCTGATACACGGGAACCGTCACCAACCATATCAGATGTGCACTTCATAATTTAAGCCCTTTTAACAAAGCAATGAAGCAAAAAAATCTAAAAGAATATAGAAATCTCTAGGTATGGCAGAGGTTATTCTAAGGCATGCATATTGTTAAAAGATGAAAACACTGATCACGCACAGTTAATGACCGTTTGCACAATGTATTCAGGTGAAAACCCACCTGGGTGTCACGAGCTGATCATACATGATTGGCCATCCCTACGTCTGCAACGTCTACTCTGCATCACATGTACTAGACAGACTGCTCAAAGCCTATGCACATAACGTTATGAAAAATTGTGAGTTTTGAAATAAATGCAGGAAGATACCAGTTCTTTGCAGAAAAAGACTAGGCATGCCAGTGGTGACAGAGAAGCAAACAGCAGCTCACGAGAAACACATGGGCAATTCAAACCACTCGAGAGAAACTTGACCAGGCTCTTTCCAGCGAGGCTCCCTCCCTCCTCGACGGCGATAAACAGAGCCTTTTCATCACCGCGCTAACGAGGGCCGGAGAGGAACACGGACTGCCCACAGCCCTCTCCCTCACATCCGGCAGCGCTGTTCTCATTCAGCACCAGCCAGGAAAACACGGACAGAAGCACAAGGACAGCAGCGCCGATCCCACATATGGAGAAAAGGGAAAGAGATAGCCAAACGATCCATCCTTAAAGGCATCCTCAATTTTTAACTGGCCCATCTGTCGCCTGCGTCAACACAGGCGGCACAGAGAGGGAGAGGAGAGAGGGCCCAAACTGGCATCAGCCTGGCAAGCCATTTCTGTAACAAAAAACACCCTGCAAGATCAAGCAAATATTAACACCTGCTCTCTCTTCATCCTGTAACAGTTATCAGTCTCGCTTGACGTTTCTAAGAACCAATTTGTGTTTATTCCAAGTCCTGCAAGACAGGACACCACTGTTAGAATAAAAGGGCCAGGGAAGGAGAATGCAGTTTGGGGGAGGGGCAGTATTCTTGTCCTACAGTATGTTCTATTATATTGATGCACAGAAGAAATGCAACAGGCAAGCCAACGAAGATTAATCAAAAATCATCGTACACGTGGATCACAACAAGATCACGGAATACGTTACATGCGAGAAGGCCAATACCATGATTCGTTGACATATAAGTTTCCGATATAAAACAACTCAACACAGTTAAAATGGAAGCTCGGTGCCTGGGGGCTTTCAGTGCTGGAATTACAAACTGTTCAGACTTACGGCAAGCAAGAAGTTTTCACTGGTAAAAAAATGCAGAGATAACTTGACCCTTGTTTTCCCCCCAGTAATGCTGATGTGCACGCAGATGTGCTGGCATGACATGCTTGTAAATGCATGTGCCCTGTGGGCTGGGGGTCTCACTGAGACACCCCAGCTTTTCAGCTGCTTGGAAGAGGTGAGGTGTGAAGACCATTTAATTACCTGCCTGTGCCCTTGTACGCTGCGGTTCTCTGCTCACCCTCTCACACGCAGGCAGCAGGGCTTCAGCCAAGTTACTGTGGTACGCACTGCAGCTTGCAGCCTGCACGACGCTGCTGCCTACTCACTTCAGCTCAACAGGCCCGAGGACACGACGTGCAAGTGGAAATGAACAGGAAATGATTTTAAGACTGAGAATAGGTGGTGCTTCTTTACACCAGTGGTTCCCCGTGCTGGTCTTGGGGGAACAGTCTCTTCTACATTTCTCTCCAGCGGAGCTCTAACAGTCCAGTGCAAGATGATGACTGAAAACCCCCACGTCAAGGTACAACTTCAGCCCCCATGACCACATGCAACTTGCTTACCTTTTTGACTAGACAGAAATCAGTTGATCACACTAGACGATTAATTGATGATGAAAACACACACTCCAGCAGCCACTCCCACACCATCCTGGGCCAGAATGAGCGCCCCAGCCCTGCTTCTCCAACGTGCTTCACCTTGAGAGTCGCGCATCACACCACATGGTGCAAGTCCCGCACAGTGCTCTGCGGGGGAGTTCACTCTGACTTGGAGGTGTGGCTCGTCTCTCGCTGACGTCACACACACTCACACCAGGGCCAGTCTTCCCAGAAGCCAGCTGACCCTCCACCACGTCTTTGGACAGCAGGAGGAAACCGGAGCACCCAGAGGAAGCCCACAGAAACACGGGGAGAACATACAAACTCCTCACAGACAGCAACCCAGAATTGAACCCAGGGCCCCAGCGCAGCAAGGCAGCAGTGCTGACCACTACACCACTGTGCAGCCCATCTACTTAACAGCACTTTCTGAATTTATAATCACACATCTCTTTAGAAACATCCAAAGCTTATGGAGTTGAGTATTCTGGCGACTGATTTCATCCCTCCTTCCGGAGCAAGAAGATCTTTCCGTGTAGTATTACATGATACCGATCTTTGCAATTAGCATTCAGCGTTCTGGGAATTCCTGCTTTATATAGTTTTTGCCCTCTCCCAGCGCAGCCGTCCCAAACAGAAGACTACATTGTGCACACAGCTTGTCTGGTTTCCAGTAACTCGCTGACCCAAAAGCCCCACCAAGCTGGGTTTTTTTTCCTGGAATGCGAAGGAGTCACAGCGTACGCGACATCTAAGATCTCCACACACTCGAGCCTGGACACGCAGGAGGGGCGGCGCCGCCGTCACACGGTAACTGTATCAGCACGCGCATCCAGGCGTACCGATCTGAAGCGCGGCCGCGGCCCGCACGCGAGGGGGGGGGGGTAAGGCCCCCCCCGCGCAAACCTGCACCCTGCCTCCATCTGGCAGAGACCGGGGGCTCAGGTCCCCCTCCAGCCTGCCGGCAGCCCTGCTCCCTCCGGCTCTGCACGCCCAGCGGGCTCGTGTTCATGGATTAACAATTGCCCGGCTGCTCCGGAAAAACAGGACGACGTCAACCTGCGACGGTGGCGGAGAGGCCGGCTATTTCACCCCTCATTCCAATCACCTCCAACTCATGGTTAGTTTTATTCTCTAGATGGGGGGGTCCTGTAACCCCCTCGGGGGAGACGCCTGCTTGCACTGGCGGCGGAGCTCACAGATCGGAGGAGCTCCCTCACCGGGGAACGTTTACACGATGCCCCTCCTCACACATCTCTGCTGTAAGCCACAGCAGGGAGCGAACGCACAAACAGAGCCAAGGCACACCTCAGTGAACACCTCCACTAACTAAGAGATGGCTCTCCCCAGAGCTCCCGCACCCAGCTGCCCTTCTCCGGGCCGATCCCAGAGCAGCCATATCTTGCAAGGTTACAGAAAATCAGTCCAGAGAAAAGCAACCAGATAGACTCTGGGTTTTAAAGGACTGTCCTGCACCGACAGGCTGACGGGACTGAACTTCTTCAGTACCGAACAGAGAAGAGGGGACCTGATTCTCAAAGACACCGAGCACATTCCGACCCGGGACACTTCTGTAGGATGCGCGGAGAAACACGAACCAGGGAGCACTCCTGGAAACGTGGCCGTGAATTTAAAAATGAAGGCTGGAGGCAATTCTTGTGCAGTTCATGTGCTGGGTGGCGAACTTCTAAATGCCCTCTAGATAACGAAGCACCCCGATGCACTGAATGACCCTGTAACTTTCAATACATTCTTGCCTGCATAATTTGTACCGGAACAATTTTCAACTTCTTTTTCCGGAACGTTCTTCCCAAGACTGAAATTTACTCGTGGGTTCAAAGTGAGGAGCAACTCCTCCCCCCCAAAAAAAAAATACATGCATCTTAGCTCTGTAGCTCTAATCGATCGATGACGTGTGATGATAACTCAGAAGCGGCTGCAGGTGCCTCAACAGCCCCCTGCTGAGTGAGGGGGTGGCGGCAGTGAGATTGAGCGGTTTCATCTCGCCGTCCAGGGGAGCACCAACGAACCCTCAAAGGACCCACAGCCTGGATCAGGAAGTCACATGGCCCAGACCAAGGGAGCCGAGCGCCTATGACTCATCTGACATCAAGGATGCATGGTGGAAGGATCAGTCCAACACACACACAGCGCTCATAGTCTCACATCGCTTACTCACTTTCGCTGTGCACTGCTGGCTTTTCCCCAACCAGAAAAAAAGAAACACGTCTGTTGGGTGAGTGCATCAGTTGTGAATGGCACCGGCTCGTCAGCCGAGTGGGAGGACAACTGTAAAAGCGTCACAGAAGAAAGCCACAGATTTCACAGGCACAGAAAGACACAGCATCCAATTCTCCCGGTTTTCCTGGGCCAAATCAAGCCCAAAAAAAAAAAACAACGATAAAAGGGGGAGGTCAACACTTTTTCCACAACAGCCACCTATACTTTCTGGGAAAAAGTGAACAGCACTCTAACCCTGTGCAGTTTCTAACTGCCTCATCCAGTCCAGGGTCACAGGGGAGCTGGAGTCAGGTACACCAAAGGGCACACACAGACATGCACCGACAGTCTCCCCAGAAGCCAGCTGACCTGCCAGTGTGTTTTGGGGCTGTGGGAGGAAACCAGAGCGCCTGGAGGAGATCCACACAACCGCAGGCAGAACATACAAACTCCACACAGACAGCACCCGGGCCACAGTGCTGTGAGGCAGCGGTCCTAATCGCCGTGCCTCCTGCCACTCCCTTTAAAACCTCTTACATTCACAATGTTAAGACCAGAGTCCACCCCCTGTTGAAAGATTAAGATAAAAGAAACACAAAACCGAAGAAGTACCAGCATGTGTCTGTTCACGAATGCATACTGTATATAAAACCAGGGCTACCTCCTGTTTCAGAATAAAGACCAAACTCTTTGACAGTCTACCCCTGGCTACCTCAGAATGAGAGGCTTTTATTTTCGACGACATAACCTCCCCAGATTAGACGGGGCCATTGAAGCAAGTAAGCTCTGAAAGTGTACTGTTTTTCCCCACCGCCGAGGGCAGCGGTGTGACCCGTCAGCTCTCCCGCTGACCAAGTGACCCGGCCGGAGCGGACCAGACACTCGGCTCCCGGTTTTACCGTCAGTCGGCGCCTCTTGGCGAAGACAAGTGTACCGTCTCATGTGTGTACCACTCCTGCGATACTGCGAACAGACACCGCGACACAACCACAGACAGTCGGTTAGAAATTGACAGTGGAGATTCTTACTAACGTCAATATTAAGAAATAAAAAAACGACGGCAGGTCCACAACGCACGGACACAACCCTAGCGGGGACACTCGTACCTGAAACAGAGCAGTTACAGCCCCTGAAAACGCACTTGATTGACGCTGATCCGATCCCAGCGGACTATTCATTTACGAAAAACCGCGACCGGCTCGCGCCACTGTCAGGGCAACAGCGCGCGGGTCCCCCGCGAGCCGGAGGAAGTTGACGGAGCCGCGTCTCGAGCCACCCCGAGTCTCCACGGCTCGCGCCCCCTCGCCGCCTCGAACCGCCCGCGTGCGGAAAACCTCCCTCTCGAGGTTTTCTTTGAAAGAAAGACGCGCGGTTAAACCAAATAAAATGCGCACAACCGAACAGGGCGTTAATGGGTAATGGGGTTTTTTTTTTGCCGAGCAAGACGTAGTTCCTCGCACTTTTCTATCAAATCCGAGCGGTTTTCGGGATTTTTTTCCCCCCCGATTACCTGCAGATGATTTCAGACGCAACGGCTCATCCTCCATCCCCGATCACCTGTCCTCCCTCCGCTAGCGCGTGGAAGTCCTGTCTTGTTACACTTCCAACCCACAGTGCTCTCGCCGCCCGCAGGCCCCGCCCACCGCCGCTCCCATTGGCCACGGGCTCCGTCCGTCCCCATCCTTGGGTGAGATGCGCCGTAGGCATGGTAACCACCGGGGGGCGTGGCCCGAAGCCCAGCCTCCCGACCAATCCCATGCTGGGCTGCCGGACCTGGCTCCCGCCCACCTGTGGGGGAGCCTTGGAGCGCGGCCGCTATTGGCCAGAACAGCCGTCATTGTGCTGGAATCGCGGGAGGCGGGAGCTTTCAATTGTCCTGTGCTGCACCGCCGCCTCAGCTCCGGGGGTGCTGTCTGCGTGGAGCGTGGGTTTCCTCCCACAGCCCAAAGCATGCTGGTAGGTTACTTGGCTCCTGGGAAAACTGGCCCTTGTGTGTGTGTGTGTGTGGATTGGACAGCAGTCCCGTCCAGGGTGAGCCCGAATTCGGTAAAGCGGTTAGGAAATGGATGGACGGGACTCTATTTTATTGACAGTTTTTCGGTTTTATTATATTCAAAGAAGATCAGATTATAACGAGAAGTCGCCGGATAAAACCTTATTGAGATTCTTACCGCGTTGTTTTTAAAGTGCTAACACTTTTGTTTCCCGAAATGTGTACAAATATTCCAAGTTGCGTTTTAATTCATAGCTGTGACAAGAAAGCTGGGAATTAGTGTAAATGTTACTAGTAAGTATAGCTTTCATCCAGCAATGTGGCCTAATTTTAAAAGACAAATTAACATTTTCCCCTGTTCGAAACGACCTTCTGTGCTTAATTCCTAAGACTGAAAAACAAAAAAAACTTTATCATTATGCGCTACGAAGTAAGCGGGAGATGTGTTTTAATCGTTGGGTCGGTTTTATTACGGCAAATGTTTTATTCAGAGACTCCTTTGGATAAAATATACACTTTTTGGAGGCCACTGCAAAAGCATTCACAATGTATGATTCAATTGGTTTATTGATTTCTTAATAAATATTTATGCAGCTATTAATGTTTTAAATTCGTAAGCACACAACTGAACTTCAAACCTGAACTATTGCAGTTTCTGAACAAAAATGCAAAACACTGTGAACACAATCTACATAAATGAAAAACTTGAGAGTACACAAATCATTTTCAAGGTCACGCCAGGCAGGTGCTGATGGGCGCATTACCGAACTCTGTCCACTAGAGGGCGGGAGACCCTTACAAATACGGTCAGGTCAGTCACGATCTCTTCCTCCCAGGTCGATGAGGAAGAAGGCTATTCTAACGGTGCTGATGTTACTATCATTGATCTGCCCTTATTAAAACGCATCAAGGATCAAGACAGCCGACCATCAAACACAACATATCCGTACCAGTATCACGGATTCATAAGAGCAAGTCCCGTGCTCTCCAGTACCCAGGGCCCAGGATAAGATAAGATCACCTTATTGGCCCTATACAATTCCTTGCATTAGGAATTTGTCTTTTTGCAGACCCCAGCTCGCTCTCCATGAGACAGACAGAGAAGCTGGGGGTCAGAGCGCAGGGTCAGCCATTGTACAGCGCCCCTGGAGCAGCTGGGGTTAAGGGCCTTGCTCAGGGGCCCAACGGAGGAGGAGGATTCAAACCGGCAACTTTCCAGCCACAGGCTCAGGTCCTGAGCCACAGAGCCGCCGCTCCGCCCCACAGGGCGAAAAAAAACTTGCGCCTGGCGCTGAGATGAGCTCCGGTATGGACTTCGCCTTCACCTGCATTTGAGGGTAGCAGCTTGGGGTAGGTCTAGGTCTAGGGCTCCCGTTCCGCTGAACGGTGTGAATCGTCCCCGGCTGGCATACCTGCTTAAACCAAGGAAGACGGTTCCTTAAAGTATCCACACGCTGTGTGGCCGGTCGGGAGAAGCTGGATTTGGCTCGTACCCTGCTCACCGGCACGCCGAGGACGCGTGTAGTGGTTTGAAGTCGAGTCTGCTAGGGGCTCACCTGTCCGAAAAGCGTGACTTCCCGATCTGTCCTGTTGGTGCCCCTCACCTCTTCCAGGGAACTCCCCAAGCAGGGCTCGAACCGGATCGACTGAACAAGACAGACAGGCACGCAGACTGTAAATAAACCCATCCTGAACGCTTCCTTTTTCGAGTTCACGTTGAAAGGGGACTTGTTTTGTTTTTTTACAAACCGAAACACGTCGTTTTTGTCTGATCTAAATCCTTCATGGGTAAGGTGTCGTCTCCGACGGGGGGGGGGGCGGCGCACCTGGGCTCCCCGCACCTGCAAGCTGTTGCCACAGCAACCAGCCCGCTGCCTCCCAACATCCGGAGCCGCCCAGCCAATCGGAGGCTCCCTCGCTGCGGGGGCGGGGCTAGGGGGATGACGGGACAGGACTCGAGCAGCTCAGTGTCCCGCCCTCCTCCTGCAGGAGTCCTGACACGGTAGACTCATCCCTTTCTAAAACTAAACGTTTCATTAATTTTGTAGTGATCTTTACGGATAGTAACCTGAATGGGGTTTCATTTTACCCCTCTATCAAATGTTTTTTCTTAACTCTACAACACAATAATACAGCAATTTGTATTGGGGAAAAAATACCCATCCTGTTGGTGCCTTCATACCAACTACTCCATCCATCCATTTTCTAACCCCAGGTGTCCCCGTATTGGATAAAGTGAACCCGGCCAGCAATGGACAGAGGTAAAACCATGCCAATGATGATCCAGATTCTGACTTTTTTTGAAGGTCAGCCTGCTGCCCCATTGCACCTGTGGGCACTGGAACTCAGTTACCTGAACCGAATAGTGAAAAAACAAAACGAGACCTTTAAGTGATTTATAAAAGAAGCATATTTATTGGAAATAAAACAAAAAGGATTAGTGTTCAATACTGAATCAAGTCATCAGCCTTCATTTCAGAGTACACAGCTCCCCCACTTTCACACACGACAGACAGTAGCCTGCTGTAGAACCTGGTGAGATCGCCCGTGAACATGGTCCTGCTGCTGATCCACTACGTGTGCTCCAGCAGGCAGACAGCTGCAAACAGCTGGATGTGAAGAACAGTAACACTGCCCTGAAAGACTGAACCAAAGGTGACTAGTGTAAGGGAGGAAAAAACAGCAACTTGCAATTTCCAAAGTTTGTTTCTGGTTCATTGCATCAAAATATCTTTTGTAATAGTTTTTATCCTAAATCTTCAGGGGTTCAGGGGCAACCTCTTACTCCTCAGTGTTTATTCTACTGCAACCATGTGGTTGCTTAGACAACCTCAACAATACCTGTCCTCTATCATCACCCCCCCAAATGGGGGCGTTTACTGACCATAGTAACTTACTTCATCTCTCTGCTATGA